GCTGTTTATTTTATTCATATTAATATTATTGTTTTAATTATTTTGAATATCCAAAAATAATGTGAATTATGTTAGTTTATTAATGAAACAAATAAATGTTTTCTTGGATAGAAATTTAAAAGATGTTAAGTTTATTTAAAGCAAGTTTTTTTTTTTTTTTTTTTTTTTTTTTGCTTCCTTGCAGATTTCTTGCAGATGTAGTGGATTTGTACCCACTTCACAGTCAGAAAATCTTGATTTCTCTGCCACAGGGGAAGAGCAGGGGTGAGGGTTAACACTAGCCCTTTGTATAGGATTTAGAGTTTCTGCAAAACCCTTCTACCTCCTTAGTCACACCACCTTCTCTCAAACCAGTCATCTAAGTGCAGTGTTGCTCCTCTTTTGGCCTGGTTTAAAGGGTTTCTTTATTCTGCTGAACACAAAAGAAGATGTTTTTAGAAGGCTAAAAACCTGTTTCGATTGACCTCTATAGTATTTGTTTTTCCTTTTATAAATGCCAGTGGTTACTGGTTTTGAACTTTCTTCCAAAATATATTCTTTATTGTTCAACGGGATAAAGAATTGTATAAAGGTTTGGAAATACTTAAGAGTGAGTAAACAGTGAGCAATTTTTCATTTTTGGGTGAACTCTACCTTTAACATATTTTCAGTCATCTGAGCACAAGTGATCAGTTGAGTTAGCTTTCATCTTTTCATCTGGGATTAACATCTGCTCAAATTCATCACTTGGTCGATTACAACACATCTCACTTTAAGAACCACTATAATTGGGGTTTTGTTTGAACACATTTAACCACACAAGCATTTACAATATCAAAACACAATCTGTTGTGTTTGTTTTCTATAGTACCTGGAAGTGGTCTAAAGCTTACAAGCTCAAAACACTTTAGACTAGGGCTACACAATATATTGTTTCAGCATCGATATTGCAATGTGTGCATCTGCAATAGTCACATCAGAGGATTTGCAAGTTTTACAGTTGACCGGGAGCCACATTTTAGATTTGTTGAGCCACTGTAGTGTTTCATCAAAATAGAGTGAAAGTTTACCATTTGTATGTATCTTTAAAGGGCACCTATGGTGAAGATCATCTTTTGTAAGCTGTTTGGACAAAACTGTGTATAGGTATAATGTCCACTATCATATTGAAGTGATATAAACACAATAATTCTTGTTTTTTAGATTTCCTCATATTAAAATAGGATCCAAATCCTTGCAATTCTGAGATCCACCTCAACGTGACATTGGAGTGCGTTTTCCCCACCAAGTGAATTGATTGACAGATGCATATTAACTTGTATCCGTAGTAACACATACTGTGTAAACATAACCACAAGACAGGACTTGCTCAAAGCACATGGGATTAACAGATCTGTTCAGCTCTCTGTGATCATCTGCATCACAAGAATTTTCTCATTCCAGAAAGGTGTTTATTAACTCCACAACAAATACATCAAATAACCATAAATTTTTTTGTCTATATCTTTGCTTGTAATTTGCTTATTAAATTTTATGCATATTTTAGTCCCCAACAAAATGATCCTAATCAAATCTAAATGAGTACATTCTTTACACATAGAGCTATTCAAGTTATTTAATGAAATTGTATTCGTATTGCAGAATAACTGTTTATCGCAATGTGCAAATTTTTTATTTTATTTTTTTCAATATAATGCAGGTCTATTTCAGACCCTGTTTACACCTTTAATTAGCATTGTCTATTTGTGATTGTATCGACAAAAATGCATTTTAATATCCATTGTAAAAGTAGCTAAAATGTCACCTGGCATCCACACAAGTCCTGCTGTGACCCTTGTCACCTCCCCATTGGGTCACCTGTTACCCCTCACCCTGACACTTGAGAAGTCCCGAGAGACACAGTCGCGCAGCAGACAGAGAGCTCTTTGAGTTTCTGAAACATGTGCATTTCAGCTCTCCTTTCCTCTCTTTATCATTCTGTCTGTCTCCTGTATTCACATTCACACATTGGTACTTAAACCTCTATTGAGTTAGGATTGGCTTCATTAGTGGGCTAGATCAATCTGCATTTATTTGTCATGGAGGACTGTGATGCTCCAACTTTTAATTCTGGCAGAAGCATGCTCTTCTATAAATATTTCTTTATGTGCTCGCCACTGCTCGGACAAATTCACATTGTTTCACAAACAATTATTTAGTTCTTGCACACAGAACTTTATGACTCATCATTGGCCCCAAGTATCCCTCTAAAGGCCTCCACCCCATTATTGCTCTCATGTGAATGGCTCAATGTGTTTTAGAGGGTGGATATAAACATTTGAGCAAAAATTGTTGTCCAGAGAGAAATTAAGTCGGTGTCCCCATTTCATCACGGTCTAAATTATAGGCTGCTCATTTACAGTATTAGCCAGTTTCATCAGTGGAAAAAAAACTGTTGCAAGTCTAACCCAACTATTAGTAGGATTAGTTTCAGCTCAGCAAGTAAGTCAGATGCTCATTTAGTTGTTTGCCGCTCTGAATCATTCATTGAAGTCAATCAGGGGTTCATCAGATCGGTACATATTGTTAATCCCGAGTTTGAATCTTTTTAAGTGATAATTTTTAAGACTTGTTTGTTCATGAATTGGATTACACTTATTAGTGTAATTACTAGTATATTGACGGGTGTTTTCGTACCATTATGCTATAGAGTGTTAGTTTGTCATTTTAAATTCTTAAAAGATCAAACTCCTATTTAACACTCAAGCAAAATGTGGTTTGTTTTGCTACGTCACTGAAGATTTATCAGTAGTGGTACTGGAAACCCTGGGACTCTTAAAGTCAATGACATTTCCAGATATTTCTCATTCTTTTCTAAGTTAAACAAAATATTTAATAAATTAAACTCTGTCTAACTAATTATTAACTCAGTTATTACAACAAATCTCTGTAGCACTTAAATATCACTTTCCTTCACTTTCGTCAAATGGTGAAGTTTGTTCCTTGCCACTGTCGCCACTGGCTTGCTTGGTTTGTGACTTGTAGAGCTGCGCATCGATGGTTTTACTCTTCAGTGTTTGGACTTTCAGCAGTGAAAATCAAACCACACTGGACTAAACTAAACTGAACTTCAACTCTGAAAACTGAACTGACACAGTTTCAATTTACTAGAACTTCTATGTTAAGCTGCTTTGACACAATCTACATTGTAAAAGCACTACAGAAATAAAGATGAATTGAATTGAATTAAATATGGTGACCAACTGTCTATTTTCTTATAAGTTAACATATTAGCCGTTTATATTAGTGATGGGAAGTTCAGATTATTTTACTGACTTGGACCTTTGAGTCTCGTTCATAGAAATTAACAAATCTTTTTTCGAGTCATTTCGTTTAATTTGCTAAAATAACATTTAAATGTTACAAGATGCTTCCAAACACATCTATAACTAGCCCAAACGTTGATCACACTACAAACAAGTCATAACTAGAATGCTACTGTACTAAAAAAGAAAAAATAATCCTTTATTGTTTACCTGGTGTTTTGTCTATAATTAGCTCCGCTCACCTCTTCTGACATGTCTTCCAAGTCATTGCTTCACCTGACACTGACAGTTACATATAAGCTTAACCAATGCACACAGTCTGAGCTGAAAGGAGGCATGATTAGTTCACCTTTTGAGTCTTCAGGTTTTGAGTCGTTCTTTTATCAAGTGACTGCATGGAAAGAGAGGACTCAAAACTGAAGACTTAAGAAATGAACAGATCAAATCTTTTTCCGGCTCTAAATGCAAATGATTGGCTTTTGTCTTTGACGTCCTAAACGAATGACTCCAACCGAGAACTCGAGAGATGAATGGATCAAATCTTTTACTGGCTCTAAATGCAAATGATTGGCTTTTGTCTTTCATGTGATGAAGTAACGACTCAAACGAGAACTTGAGAGATTAGACATTAGACCAGAGAATTTTGTTTCTTATGGTCAGAGAGTCCTTCAGATGCCTTTTGGCAAATTCCAGGTGGGGTTATTGATCACCTCCCTGACTCTTCTCCTCTGATCACTCAGCTTAGGTTGCCGGCCAGCTCTAGGAAGAACCCTGGTGGTTCCAAACATCTTCCACTTACGGAGGCCACTGTGCTTATTGGAACTTTCAGAGCAGCAGAAATTTTTCTGTAACCTTCCCCAGCCTTGTGCCTCAAGACAATCCTGTATTGGAGGTCTACAGGCAATTCCTTTTTCTTCATGCTTGGTTTGTGCTTTGATTTGCACTGTCAACCCTGGGCCCTTATATAGACAGGTGTATGCCTTTTCAAATCATGTCCAATCAACTGATTTTACCACAGGTGAACTCCAATTAAGCTGCTGAAACATCTCAAGAATGATCAGTGGAAACAGAATGTACCTGAGCTCAATAGAGCTTCACGGCAAAGGCTGTGAATACTGATGTACATGAGATTTTTTTTTTTTTTTCTGTTTTTTTTTTCTCACATTTTCATTGACCATTGACATTGGTCTTGTTTGTAGAATTTTGAAGAAATAAATAAATGTAATCCCTTTTGGAGTAAGACTAACATAAAAAAATTTGGAAAAAGTAAAGCGCTATGAATACTTTCCAGATGCACTATAGTGTATATACACCATGACCATATTTTACATTAACATTCCTGTAGCTAAACTAAACAGTCACAACAACTGCCTTACTAACTAGTAATAACCATCAAAGTAAGAGGTATTCAAGGGAAAAAGTCAAATTAGTTATAAGGAAACCAGCTGGAGCAATAGAAAAGGGCCTTATTTCAAAGTATGCATTTTAGGAAGCAGATACTACAAAACCAAACCGTATATGGTTTTCCCTAGATACTCATAATGGATGATGCTTCATTTCCAAACACTGCTCTGACGTCATCATGTTTAAAGCGAATCTACTCAGATTGTGAAAGGACGGTGTGTTCAGCCTTCTAGCTGACAAACACATTGAGAAACTGACAACATGTTTGCAGTCCACTTGTTAATGTCTCTCTGTTTTTCTTGCGATCTTCAGGTAATGAGTGAACATGGAGGCTGGCTCGGTGGTGCGTGCAGTGTTTGAGTTCCTCCCGAGCGTCTCTGAAGAGCTTCCTCTGTTCACCGGAGATGTCATTGAAGTGCTCAGTGTTGTTGATGAATTCTGGCTTCTTGGAAACAAAGATGGAGTCACAGGTAAACTCATGAGTGGGTACAAACTGCATTTAATTTGCTTTTCATATTGGTGTTGATTTTTTTTTCCCCTGTCCTTTCTTCCCCCAGGCCAGTTTCCTACCACTTTTGTGGAGTCTGTTACAATCCCAGGCACCAAGGCAGGAGAAAATCTGTATGTGTGCATTAATGACTTCAACTCTGCGGAGGCTGGAAACCTACCACTAAAGAGAGGTATATATAGTGTTTTATTCGTATTAAACATGCCTAATTTCCATTTTTTAAACGGATGTCACTTAGAGAAGTCGTAATCATACATTACTGATTGCTTATCATTTTAAAAGAAGGAAGCTGATTAAGTTAAAAGCATTTCTGTTGCGATTTTCTCTTCTCTTCAGCATAAGTCCTGCTTGCTCCGAGAGGTGTAATGTCGTATATGAGAGGTACAGCTTGATTGTATAGTAGACTGTAGAGCTCTAGATTGTACATCTTATTCTGTATGCACATACATAAGCTTACTGTTAAGGGGGTTTATAAGGTTTTTTTCTTTGTTTTCTGTATTTGCTAGTAGAAATATGGATCAAAAATGGAAACTCTGAATTGTAAATAATTTTTATTTCTTCTTTATCTAATATATGGTAAATTTTCGAGTGATATCAGAATTTCCAGATTTTGAGCCGTTAAAAAAAAAAGCCTTATCCCAGTTCACCACTAGATGTCAGTAGTTGTATGTTTATGTTGTGCAGAGTAAAATAGAATCCACAATCCCTACAGGTAGTGAAATAAATCATGATAATGTTTTACCTGTGTTTTATTTCTGTAATGTTTTCTACTTCTTTCTTTTCATTGATTTTTATTCGTTTTTAGACATTAGTTTGTATTTGGTGTTTGCATAATACACGTCTGTTTATGTTGTATTACTTTAGATGTTTGCTGTATTCATTTTTGATCTAATGTGGAAACTGTGATTTGTCCAGCACACACTTCCTTTATTTTGTGTGAAAAACACAACTGGATGGATTTTTGTTTCCCCTATCATGTCAGTGGGGATCATGTATGCTGCTCTGGTTTATGAGTTGAACACAATGGGAGGCGGAGCACACGTCTGTGTGGAATGTGGCCCCTGTGACCCCAAGGGACATTCTGGCTCCTGTTGGTGTGTGTGTGTGTGTGTGTGTGTGTGTGTGTGTGTGTGTGTGTGTGTGTGTGTGTGTGTGTGTGTGTGTGTTTTCTCTATGTGTTTTCTGTGACACTGACCACACCAGTGACTTTACTGCCATGCAAACTGACTTGAGGTCAGAGCTAAACACACAGCTCTAATCCTGTTCAGTTGAACAGCGTAAATTGCCCTGGCTGTGAATTTATGTGCTGACACAGTTGAGTACCCGCTAAATATATTTGTATTCACAATTTGGCTCTAAAGCAGCTTTTAAAAGAATGACTTGTCAAAAATACTTCAGCATGGATGCAAATATGTCAGTAATAAAAAGAAGAATTAACTCACACAAACATCACTAATACAAAACATTATCCAGCTAACACCATATGGAACTGAGTCTTCAGAAGGGAACAGTTCGCTTGTTGGTCTCTGTGCATATGCATATGGACATTTCACTTCTTGCTCTTTTTTTTGTAGAATTAGATGTCATCAGCGTTAAATTTAAATAAAATACTTAAAAAGGCAACTTTAAAAGAAAATGGCTTAATGTATTGTCTACCTCTATACAAAATCTTGTGACATGTCAAGACCTGTGTGTTATAAATACTAAAGAATATGTCCTGTCACTTTTGAAGTGCTTATATTGCTTATTTTAGAACAAATTTTACAGAGCTGTCTTGCCATAATAGTCAGATTCTAACATTGCATGAATGTAAAGTCTATTAAGCTAAGTCATGGTTTCCGCAACATTCATTCTTTCATGGCAGGGCGCCACACCAAAATTCATCCTGCCATAAATACATTGTAGCATCTCATTCAAAACATTCAGTCTTTTTTTCTTTTTTTTTTTTTTATAGCGGGTCATAATCGCACCAAAACTTATTAAAAGATAAGTGAATTATAACAGCGCAAACTTGTCTATAACTGTAGTAGTGCTGTGCGTTCTTCATTTAACACTTTAAGGTTACGTGCTGACTGAATGACTGACATGTGCATGATGCGTGAGGCCAGCAAACACGACGTAGCTTTAGATGATTCATTTGATGAACAGTTTCCATAAGTATACTTTACAAATAAAAGTACTGGTACTGCATGTAAATGACTTTATCTTGCTGAAGTTTATTGCCATTTCACTTTACTTCAGGATGCACAAATGCCACTCTGTAGGTCCTATTGGAGCATTTATAAATATTCCTAGCCAATCTAATAAAAGTTGGTCACATACTCGTTACATAAAAGCACTAAATCACACTTCAGCAGCCTTTATTAGAGATTGCACAAGGAAATTTGCACTCGAGCAGTGTATATTTGAGGGCATGCAAGAAGTTTTGTGTACGAACAGAGAAAATCGACGCACAAGCAGAGGTTCACATGCTCGTATTACATTAATGCGATCTCGACTTGTAATACTGCGCTCACAACATTTGTCATTGAAACAATGCCATAGGTAGTTGGTAGATCTGTGTAAAAAAGGCCTGCCGCCACAGCTGGAAAAAATCCTAAAGGAAACACTGTAAGTAAACTTTGTCATGCCCAAAAAAAACTAATGAAAAACCTAGTCCCTCAACAGGTTTTGCAGTACATCACTAAATAAATGTCAGGGATGCTACTATATTCTAAATAAGCTCCAGAAACTTCATTACATATACTGGGAAGTCAGCCAGGACAGTTTTTCAGTAATACTTACTGAACGATGCAAGATATTGTCACCAGAATGTTTTTATGTAAATTGTTCCAAGTATTTTTATTCAGGTTATCACTTTGTGATAGTTCAACCTTTTTTGTCAAGATGCTTATCTTCTCTCTCTCCCTCTCTCTCTCTCTCTCTCTCTCTCTCTCTCTCCTGTTGTAGGTGATGTAGTTGCTGCTGAAAGTAGTATGGATTCTGTATGGATGAGAGGGCATAATGCATGGGGCTCGCGTGGACTCTTCCCTGTCTCCTGCATTAAAGAGCTAGAGCTTTCTGGACGATCCAGGCAACTATCCGAGCGCAGTGCAGCTGTCCAGGCCTCTGAGCTCCCACCACATGCACTGGGCCAGGCTCGTGCCCTCATGAACCTTCATGCCCAGTTGGACGAGGAGCTGGACTTTCGAGAGGGTGATGTCATCACCATAATAGGCCTGCCAGAACCTGGCTGGTTCCAGGGAGAGCTGGACAACAGGACAGGACTTTTCCCAGAAGGTTTTGTGGAGTTGCTTGGACCTCTGCGCTCACCTCTGGAAGAGCCTGAACCTCAGACCTTGGAACAGTATCCAGATTACAGCAATGAGGATGAAGAGAGGAGAGCGGAAGAAGAGAAGGATGAGGAACCTCCAGAAATGGAGATTCAACAATGTCAAGAGGATGAAGAGGAGGAGGAGGGAGCCATTTACGGTATTGCACTTTATGAATTTCGAGCCCTTGAACCTGGTGAGCTGGACTTTGATGTCGGTGATAGGATCCGCATTCTTGCCTCTATGGATGACGGGTGGTTAGAGGGGCAAATACACAGCAGGAGAGGAGTTTTCCCACATCGATTTGTCAAGATTGAAGGGCAGCTGCAGACTGTCCCACAAACTGAGACTTTAATCAATGAAATTAGTGTACCTAAAAGAGAAGAAGAGTGTTACACCCCAGACTATACCTCAGCTGAGGAAGATCACACAGTTCCAGAATATGGACAGGAGTTGTCTATCCAGCAAGACCACACAGTGTGGGACCTGGATTACTTTGAGCGCCGGGAAGAGGAGCAAAAGGAAAACAATGGTCACAACGTGCACTCTGATCAGAGCTCTCAAGAGAGAAGAATGACTCAAAATCAATCACAGGTTCAGCCCCAAGAACGAAGGCGAGATAGACCCCCACCTCCTCAGACACAACCCAACAGAGGAAGCAGCTCAGCCCACAGAAGTGTTCAAATTAACAGAAGAAGCAGCCCCAATATGGGTCGACCTCAGCTGCCCCCTAGACCAAGTCTACATGCTCTTAGCAACCGAAAATATAGCACTGGTTCTCACGCTAGCTTACGACAACCCCCTCCAGCACCCATCACAATGAACCAGAGTCTCAATCCACCTAACAAAACATCTCCGAATTCCACGTGGACAAGGAACAATGGTAAATATGCCTCTTACAACAGCAGAAACCCCTTAAGCAGTAAAAGTTCTGGTGAGAAGAACAGGCAGAAGAAGCTAACTCGACATGCAAGCGTTAATGATGCAGACATAATATCTGGTGGAAGCAGCGAACAACAGGCATGGCCTCAAGTACAGGGTTCGAATGGGTTTCCGACATCTCAAACTATGGGGACTTTGGCTTTGTCAGCTAAGGATCTTGAAGCCAAGCTTTCTCAGCAGCTGATAGAGTTCGAAAAGAGCTTGCCCAGTCATAGCAATGAAGCAACAGAGCAGAGCCGATGGGAGGAAGTTAGTGGCAGATTAGGCAATAAAGTTTCCCGCCACTTCTCTATTATGGACTACAGTGATGAGAATGACATAATCCGTGGCTCCTCTCACTCCTCGATAGAACGTTTATTACCTTCCACTTCCTCGCCTTCTGGCTCTGCCTCCTCCTCTTTGGAGAGACGAAAAAATCTGCGTCCACCTCCTCCTCGACCTCGAGTCCTTAGGCCTCCGGCACCTACAAATACGCATTGGTCTCAGACCAATGGTCGTATTACTCCTCAGCCTTACCGACCTGCACGTCCAGCACCACGTCCACCTCCTCCATGTCCACACACCAATGCAGTGACACCTCCAACCACATCCAACCCATTTTATAATTCTCCAGATGAAGAGGAGATTGTTGAAGAGATGGAAGAACCAGAGGATGTTCTGGAAGCCGAAAAAGAGATGGAAAGGGAACAGGAGCAATACAGGCTACTCCTGAGGCTGGAGGAGGTGGAAAGAGAAATTGATATGTACTCTAATACAGCCCAGGAACTGCAAGCCATGCTGGATGAGGAGCAGGATGAGACTTCAAGGCAACAAGCTCTGGAGAATCTGGAATTTTGCTCTTACACCATGGAGACACTGACCTTGGAACAGCAGCAACTACAAGGTAGTCTTTATTCCCTTTCTATACTCCTAGTTTGGAACAGATGCTCTTTTTTACGACCTTCATAGATATTGTTGTATTATGCCAGTCATTCATTTGTTCATTCTGAATTAGGAAATGCTCAGCAATTTTATGACAGATAACATGTTGTCATCATTTAATCTCCACTATCTGAGATTCTTTTTATCCAGATGAACATAGCCGTTGACTTTGATTTTATTTGTTTTGCATACTATTTATTTCAGTGACTAATGCTTTCCAACATTCTTTAAAATATCTTATTTTGTGGTTAACAGAAAAATTTACTTTTTCAAAGTTGGAAACAAAATTTACATTTATTCATTTAGCACCGAGATGCCCAAAGTAGGGCCCGCAGGCCAAAGTTGGCTCATGGTAACCTTTGATTTGGCCTACCATCCCGATTGAAAGAGAGGAAGAACATTGGGAAGGTGGTTGGGGCGGATGCTTTTGACAGAGATTGTTATATTTCAATGTTACTGTCTGTTTCTTTTATTGCTGAGCTACAAAAAAAGCCAACTGAAATTAAATGATTCAATTAAATTTTAGAAATGAATTCGATTTTTAAAATGTAAAAACTGTCACAAAAAGCAATGCACAAGACATCGTCAAGCAAATCAGGGCAAGGGCAGGAGCAAGTTTTTACTGTAACAAGTTCATAATAAAATGTAAAAAACATATACTGCATTCGTTAATATGATTTAAAGCAACATTTTTCAAGTTATTTTTAAATATTTGCAAATAAATTAGGAAATTACCCATGGCAAATTTGGTGTGATATATTCGGCTTTGAATATATTTGGTACACATCTCTCAGTCAAGTTTGGTTTTTGACCCTTTAAGAGAAAAGGTTTGGACACCGCTGATTAAGCGAATGCTTTTATCCAAAGTGACTTACAAGTGAGAATAAAAGAAGCACTTCAAATCATCAAAGAGTATCTATATAAATGCTATTACAAGCCTTAAGTTATTATGTCTACAAGGCTCATTTTAGTCTCATTCTATCTGTTTGTTATTGTTGAAATTTGTTATGAAAACAATGACTTTTTTATTATTATCAGCATCTCATTTTTGTTTTGTAAAAATAAAATAGAACAAGTAGAAGGAAATTGTCAAGAAATAAGACTTCACTAAGGGTTATTTGACAGACATGATGAAATGATTATTTCCACATGAGCAATTTATATTTGTTTTATGCTGTTCTTTCTGATGAACATGAACTGTAGAAAAAAACGTATCATGAGTTACATTTAAATATGTGAATTTGCAGAACAGCATTTTGCTTGTGCCAGTAATCTGAACTACACTTCAAATACCAATATTTACAATAATCCATCATGATCCTCTGTTAAGTTCAAATTTACTTTTAGCATGCATGCTATATGTGTGTTTCAGAAGAATGCTTTTGATAACTGCCATCTGAGACAAAGTTCACTGTACTGGGTGTGTCGTACACACAACTTTTATTTATGTTGAAATTCTCTACACCATGTGTGTCAACATCACTTCTTTTCTGCTAAGCCATGTATATCAATATGTTCTGAATGATTTGCCTCATTTTCTCATAATTGTCAACTATATAACAGTCTGAAAGAGGAATTTATAAACCTCTTCAATCATTATGTGATATGCAGCACTTTCTTATAGATGGTCATTGCTTGACCTTCACACCTAACCAGGGAATAGAACACACCTAGACATAGGGAATAATAACACATAGGAAAGAAACCACTTTGTGTCTTTGAGTGGAATACTTCAGTAGACAGTGGCAATGGGAGTATCATCTCTTTTACAGCAGTTATTCAAGTCTGATGTGAGCTGTTGTGGCCATGATTCACTGTAAAGTTGTAAAATTATTTGGAAAAAACCCCCCAGACATTTTGTGATGGATGTTTTAGTATGTATGATTGAACAATTAGACAGTTTAATGTATGCATAGATATTATTTTAAAATCTATCATCTAGCTTTAAGAGTTTATCAAGTATTCTTGTTACAATTAATTGCTGAAGCTTTTATCACAGTGTATGGTATTATCACAATATTGAATTAATTTGACTTAAAATAGTCTTTTAAGAGGTATAATAACCAAAGAAATACTTCATTTACTGTTTTATTGTATATGCATGTCCAAAGTAAAAGAATTGAATTGTAAAAGAATTACAAAATTCAAAAGATAAAGTTTTTATGAAGCATCATTACTAAATGTCACTTAATAGATTCAAATCAACAGTAAGAAAAAGACAGATTTACTAGTTACTGTGTTAATAGTAAAACACTATTTTATTATTTACTCCATTTGATAAATTATTATGACTTTTTTATAATGGCATTAAGAAATTGACTACGTAAAATAATAGATGCTTTATTTTACATTGCATTGACTTTAGTTACATTAACTGATGTTAAATAGAACCTTGCTGTTCAGAGTTAATGAACAAAAGAACTTTAAAAAGTCACTGAATTTTCTGTGTTGAAGGACAGCTTAACATATGAAAATGTTAATGATTGAAAATAAACTGCCTATAAAGTCTCTTAGCATTTGGTGCTGTGATGATCACCTCTCCCAATGCAACAATATATATATTTTTAAAGAGCCCTTTAAAAGTTTAAAGAATAAAACAATGATCCACTGTATTTTAAAGTGCCTATAATATTAATGCCATTCATTTTCATTATCAGGATATATTGAATTTTGGCATATGATTAGTGTCATCTTATAATTGCTTTAACGTGGGTATTTTGTAGATATATGTGTGGAATCTTAGTCCTGTTGGCTGTACTTTTCCCACATACATATGAAGTACATTCTTAAGCTATAGTATGAGAGCGGTGGCCTCTTTGTGCCCCTGTTTTTTCCTCTGTTTTTCTTGCTCTCTATTTCTACAATTCTCTCTGCATGTCTCTTTACTCCCAAAATCCCTGTGATTTTTGGTAAAGTCCTGTCTCTTTGGAGATCATGAGCAGCAGTAGTTTTAGAGCCAGAATCTGGAGCTCTATAGTGCAACCTGTGATGCATTTCACAGCACTTCTTAGCCATGCTTTTAGAACCAGAACTACACAAGTTTCAGGTAAGACTTGATCTGACATGATTTCTTGATCATTTCTCGGTTTGTTGTATTATAGTTTTAAAAGCAATCTATTTCTGTTTAATGCTATTACTTTGTGCATGTGACATTATGTGTCACTGTTTGCACACAGCTGTGTACACACCATGGTTTGATAAGTATAACCTGCTTTGTATAGGCACATCCATGTATTTTCAAAAGTAATGGTCAAGGAATTAAATTCAAAACTTGGAAGGTGTTTTGGTTTAAGAAGTTTTTTCAGGGGCTGTTCAGAAGTGATTAATGGACACAGTGATGCATGTCTTTGGTTTGGAGCACTGCCCAAGTCTTGGTGAATACCACTTGTTTTCTGTAATGCCTTCATGTCTTTGACTAACCACAGTGGATATGAGCAGAAGTGTTTTGTATGTAGTTGAATCTACTTAAGTTTTAAAACCATACTTTTAGATTTTTTTCACTTTGCTATTATAAAATGTTTTGTACAAAACAATTTATTGCCTAAAAAAATCTAAATAATATATATTTTTTAATTTTGTTATAATTGTTTATACGTATGTGTATTATTGGTGATAAATAAAGTTAATTATTTAAATAAATGGTGGTGATGGTGGTGTAACAGATCACAAATCTCATAGTTCTGATCACATACGGTTTTTAAGTCACGGATCGGACCATTTTTCAGATGAGCAAAAAGGAGAGGAGACAAATGTCAATTGCTTTTCATTTATACAAAACTATTACTACAAAAACCAGTGATTTTAACAAACATAACTTAGAACCTGTTTTTTTAACAAAAATAAAATTCAAGAAAGAACCAGCTGAAAAAAAGAAACATATTCAATATGAAAAATGATCTTTGCTACTGTTGCTGATAATGCTAAATATAAAAATCTAACATCGTCTACAACTTATTTCGAACATAATTCACACATTGAACCGTGTTTCATTATAGGTGGATCAATTTGGAATACCTATTCAGTGACATAATTTTGATGGTTGTTTGTCACCACACATTGGTTACACAATGCAATTGCTATAACATTTAACAGCATCATAGTGATTTTAATCTTTACCACATCAGCGTTTATATCTAAAGTAGTTATTCCAGTACTTCTGTGTTATTTAATTGTTTGTAACCAAGTTAAAAAGTGTAAATATTGAATCTCTCTCGATCATATAACCAGCACTTCGAAAGGATTAATAAACCTATGCAAATCATTATCATTTATCATTCATGCAAATAATTAACATTTATCATTAATGTTGTGCAGGTTTAAATTGAGATCACAATCTTTTAATGTTTAATTGTGCAGCTTTACACTGCATGCATTAATGCAGACTAAAAAACAGTGACAGAAAACACCTTTAATTAATAACGTAAGAAAGCATTTAGGTAGGTCCCACCACAACTTTTACTGTCATCTTATATTTTACAGGGAAGCAAAAATGCTTTCATACACGTGATTTGAATAACGCGGGAGGCGATCTCTCTGCAATTGTAATAATGTTGGATTAACCTACAAGTTCAAAACAGTTATTAATCCGTGGGTCATCATGTGCATTCCGAATTGTGTGTTGTGATCCGTGCGCCCAAATTGCTGGTGTTTTTAACTTTCTATTTATCAAAGATTCTTAAAAACTAAAGTATATTACTGTTTCTGCTAATATATGAAGCAGTACAACTGTTTTAAACATTGATAAAAATAATTCCAATATGATAATGACTGAGCACCAATACAAATTTGTCATAATATAGCACTAAATAAGCAATATATGTTTGTTTGTGAAAGACTGTGTTACACTGGACTATATTTATATAAAAAACACAGTCATGTTTTTGTTTTATTTTAAACAAATAAATGCAGCCTTGATGAGCAGAAGAGACTTTCAAAAACATAAAAACTTCTGACTTTTTCTTT